ATAAACACACTCAATCAAATACTAAACACTGCGCTTGGGGTAAAATGACTCTTTTACCCTTGGTCAAAGTCAACTCTCTTTTGGGCTGACTCGCCGAGTTGGCCACCCAACTCGCCGAGTCCTACTCTCACTTTTCACTTCTACTCACTGCTACTCGTCGAGTCTGGCATCGACTCGACGAGTACCCTCTTGATCCAAGAACTCAGACAATCTTCATCCGACTCGCCGAGTCGTATGAACAGACTCGACGAGTTGTTCTTGATCCCAAGAAGATTGCCTTGGACTCGCCGAGTTGTATGAACAACTCGCCGAGTCCCTCCATCACTGAGTCACTCTCAACTCGCTGAGTCCACTCTCTAACTCACCTCGTCCACTCGACACTGATAAAACTGAAGGACTCGGGACTCGCGACCCGACTCGTCGAGTCGTTCTTCCGACTCGCCGAGTCGCCGCCATGCAACTGATTTTTACTTGATTTTGTTTGAATCCAATGCATACAATTGATAGATCTGAGTCCAATAAGCTGTTTTACCACGTAAAGTTTCCAACTTTACGTGCACAACCTCATGAATAAGGGAAATAAGGCTAAAAGATGCATAAAATGGTAGATCTATGGTTATCATGCAATATAACTCCAAAAAGACAGTAGATCTGGGCTCTACAACACCCCAACATTCAGATCCATAGATATCGACTTAATAAGACGTTCATGCAAGTGTAAGGCTTGAAACAAGCACCAACTAGCTCTTAGGAGAGCTCTAATGGAAGTTTAAAGCATATAATAAGATGGAACTCCGAAAATACCTCAATAAACTCTGATTTGGCCTTGGATCTTTGCACTACAACCCTTCTCCTTGCTTCTTTCTTCTTCTCCTTCTTCACACCTTCACAAAGAGGGCACCAAAACACATATAAGCTCTTCAATGGAGGTTTGGGGCTCTATCACTGCGTTCACAGGGTGAGGGAGGCGAGAATGAGGGCTATAAGGTGGTATAAATAGTGGGCAACCCGGGGATTTTAGGGTTTCACCCAGACAGATGGACTCGCCGAGTCGGGGATATGGACTCGTCGAGTCCCCGGCTCACGCGTGCCCTCAGACGCGACCCGACTCGGCGAGTCAGGCTAGAACTCGCCGAGTCCCTCTAGAAAACTCACTATAATTACCAATAAATCAACATACCGGGAACGGGTCGTTACAGCTACACACATATCACAAATCCTGTTAGCTATAAAAGCTACACACATATCACATATCCTACATACATAAAACATGTAATAGTACCATGGGCTACCCCACATGGTCTTTACCTAAGATTGTCATGGGCTCCCCCACATGGTCTTACATCCAATGTCATGGGCTACCCCCACATGGTCTTACATCCAATGCCATGGGCTACCCCCACATGGTCTTTATCTAGGATTACCATGGGCTATCCCACATGGTTTTACATCTAATACCATGGGCTACCCTACATGGTCTTTACCTAGGACTGCCATGGGCTACCCCATATGGTCTTACATCCAATGTCATGGGCTACCCCACATGATCTTTACCTAGGACTACCATGGGCTACCTCACATGGTCTTACATCCAATGCCATGGGCTACCCCACATGGTCTTTACTTAGGACTGCCATGGGCTACCCCACATGGTCTTACTTCCAATGCCTCGGGCTCCCCTGGGGTCTTCATGCAAAACACAAACACATATCATATCAAATCACATAATGACTAACATATATATCATAATCACATAATGGGCCGGCCTTGGTGCCTTTGACCTATGGGTATGGTGAGAAGACTTACCTGGCACTGCTGAAGTCCCGCAGATAAAACTCCAGTGCTGGTTGATAGGTTCCTGAACTGTCAACATCAAAACATCACCCAATTAATAGTTGGGTTCCACTACATAACCATAAATACATACTTTGGATAATTACTACATTACTCCAAGCTTGGCTTTATTCCAGCCCAAGGTCCAATCCATTAGCCCAAAAGACAAACTAGGAATCCAAGCCCAACAGATGGCCCAATTTTCCAAATTGGGCCCAAGCCTTTACATGGTCTTATTCAAAGGCCCAACAATTTATTTTGGTCCAACATTTGACACTCTAATGGCCCAATAAAATATAATCATTAAGGCCCAAACTATGGCCCGATTTTCTAAATTGGGCCCAACACCCCACATAGGCCTTACCTCCAAGCCCATTAATTATTCTACCCCCTTTGCTTGATCTTAGATGGCCCATTAATAATCCAATCATCAAGGCCCAAAATAAAGGCCCAACAACAAACCCAAGTGAAATTATGGTTTCACATAAAATGATAATTAGGGTTAAGTGTTTCTTACTTAATCCATTAAGAACTTAATCCATTGAGTCCTTTACTTTACTAGATAAATGATATGGAGAAATTGGGCCTAATAGACAATCCAATCTCAATGGCCCAAAAGTAGGTCCAATAAGTCCAAGGCCTAAATACTCACAGTTAGGGTTTTCTAAACCCTAATTAGGGTTTCCACCCAACCTTGGCCCAATAAGCCCAAAATTAATCTTTAAGCCCAATAGGGGTTGCTAGGTCCATTAGGGTTTTGCTTGTGGGGCACCACCTACTACCACCTTGGGTAGTGGTGGTCATTGGCGGCTTATGGCAGCGACCACCACCTTACGGTTGTGGTTATTATTATTATTTTCATTATTCAATGCTAATTATAGTTACAAGGCTTTTATCCAAAATACCACACACACACACACACACAAATACACACACCAACTAACTTACACATGCCGTCACACCGTGGTGGTCGGCGGTGGCACTAGGCAGCACCCACCATGGCTAGCGGCCATGGTGGATATCTATTCTGTTTTCCGACCATCAACACCATCTACAACAAAACACATACACCTACATGATTTTTTTTATTTGCTCAAAAAGTCCAGTCACCCCCATTGGTGGCTCACGGTGGCGGCAGCAGCACTAAAATGATAGTAGCAGCAGTAGTTGTGATGACAGCCACCACCTTATGGTGGTGGCGGAGGTGTTTCTTAGTCCCCAGTCGACCAAACAACACACACACTCGCTAACCCAAGCTGGACACCGAACTACTCCCAACCCAGCCACTGCGGGTGGCAGGTGACAACTGGAAACACTGAAACGGTGACCCAAGGCCACTGGCAACTCCGGTCGACGTGAACGACACCAAATGATAGGAAGAACGAAGAAGAAGGAATAGATGGGTGGCCGCGATCCTTACCGAGAGCTTCCGATTCACACCCGACATGCACAACGATGAACACAGCGCGTTTCAACAGAGGAGAGCAGCAACCGCCTGCTGCTGGTGTCTTTGTGCAATACTTCATCGCTGGCAGTAGCTTCATCGACGATCTGGTTGCGGTGTACTCTAGCTTCAATGGCAAGGACGCGGCGGCTAGAGGAGCTCCAAGTGTGGCGGTGGCTGAAGGAAGTTATGTGGGGGATTAGGGTTTAGGTAATGTAACAGGAAGAAGAAGTCATCGGGTTAAATCCCGCTCCACTCAAGACTTTACCCATTTTTACAAGTTCGGTCCCTCCCCCTTGAGATCTTTTTCAAATCAGCTCCAATATTTACCATTATGCCCCTCCCCTACAAATTGTTCTCAATAAAGTCCTAATAATTCAATAATTAGTCCCTTAGCCTCCAAAAATTGTCTTCAATGGAGTTTCAAAAGTTACCATATAGCCCCTGCCCTCATAATTATTTACAAAACTAATCCGGAACTAACACTTTCAACCCCCGACTTCTAAAATTGTAACCTTCCTATATAATTATTGATTTTAGGGCTATTACACAATCATTAATTAATTAATTTATTAACTAAACAGGGTGTTACACATACTCTTATTGATTTGCTACATGTCAGTTTGTGATTATTTTCAATTAAAATTTTTCCATATGACATTTTGTAGTTTTTTTTTTCATTTTATTAAATTCACATAATATTTAAATGTAATAATTGCAATAAGTGTAATAATAAATACATATCAATATCATTAATTGATATTTCATCTAATTTCGAAATTTATAAATTAAAGCCTCATTAGTTTCCTATGTTTATTTACCTAAAGTATCAGTTTAAAATTAAAAAAAGAAAAAAACACTTAATTTTAATAATTCAATATTTTTTTAATTTTTCTTATAAATTCAAAATTTTCAGATGTTAAGAATTTCATATTTAACTTTTCTTTTTAATGAACTCATGTAATATATGGGTCTTACACCTAGTTTATATTATTTTAAGACGAATTACAAAAATGGTCTCTGTGGTTTATCAAATGTCACGAATTTAGTCCATTTTATACTTGAAAATTGACGAAGTCAGTAAAAGGACCATCCATGCAAGTTTTGCAAGCCAAAGGGACCATCTACATAAAAAAAATTAACATTGACTGAGGTTTTGACCTTTGGTAAACAACAAGGACCATTTTTGTAGTTTTGTGTTAAATCTAAGTAAAATGACTAAAAACCCATAGTTTTGTCATTCTGTTATCACAATTTTAAATAAATATAAGGGCCAGATATGTAATCACTTTATTCAAGATCTTCATCTTCTTCATATTTACATATGAAGATCTATAAAAATCATCATTTTCACCATCACACCTTCCGAATTCACCCCAGTAACATTTTCATTCCATATATAGGAAACCTCTTGACCATCCCAATAAACTTCCTTTCCCGTTAAAAGAGATTCAACCCCTATATATATATATATATATATATATATATATATATATATATATATATATATATATATATATATACGATGTGACTTGGCGCTGAACCACCTGAACTATGAATGAACGACATCCGAATGGAACCTGAGAGGTCACAATGAAAGAAAGGTGTCAGCCGCTCTCCGGGAGGAGGTCTCGCGAAAGACGCTCCGAAGATTAAGTTAGTGAGGTGAATATGGAGTATAAAAGTGAATGATCGGGTTGAATAGCTTACATCCCAAGGCAGAATGATGGGCTTTTATACTGAAGATCTTCCTCGGTCCGTACGAGGGACAAAGACTACGGTTCTGATAGGATCTGCTGCTTTTATTGGAGGATCATGCTCCACGTTTGTGTCCGCCCAACGAATTGTCCAATCGATAATGCTCTGGTCTTGTCCTTTATCGCCTGGAGCCGTTATCCTTGGACTGCAGCTGAAGGTCAATATCTTGGCGAGGGCGGATTTCCTGCACGATCACCTCGTGGGAGTCCTAGGTCGCTGAGGTAGTCGAGTCGCTAGCCTGACCTCTCGTTGTGCGTGTCTTACCAGGGGATCGACTGCTTCTGGTCCGCTCTGAGGGGCACGTCATCAACTCCCCCAGTCCATTTGTCATAGCGTATGCTAGCTAGCTATGATGTTCTGGGCTTTAACAGCCGGTGCACGTGCCAGGCCTTTACTCGGTCATTGTTTCGTTTCTAATGATGTGATGTTACGACGTGTGTGTGGTAGTTACGTCAGCCGTGTCAGGGATTTTTGTAAATCCCGCTTTCTTTTCCTTTTATTGATCTCGAGCAGTTTTCTTTTTCAATTCCTACCCTGCCTTTTTATTTCCTCTTTTCTTCTCTACTCCTTTTTCTTTGCCATGGCGTCTGTTTAGAGCTTAATCCCTAGTTCCTCCGAGTTTGATACCCTTCAGGAAGCTTACGGCCTTACTCCGGCTGATGGGGTGGAGTTTCTAGTCTTTGGTTCTTTGATCAATCGACCTCCTCCTGGGAAGGTGAGTGTTTATCTGAAAACTTTCGACGCCGGTCTCTACCTTCCGTTAACTGACTTTCAAGAATAAATACTCCGGCGTAACAGGTGTAGTTTTTAGATGTTGACCCCCGATGTTGTTCATAAGATAGTGGCCTTCGAGATGATTTGTTGAGCTAACGACATCGTTACTGACTACTTCTTATTCAAGTTCTTCTTTCGGTTTGCCGCCACCAACGACGTAACGGATGTAGTTTTTAGATGTTGACCCCCGATGTTGTTCATAAGATATTGTTATTTCTTATACTAAAGATAGTATAGAGTAAGCAGGGTCGGTCTACAAGAATACATGACTTCTTATCTTGCCATATTTTCACACATAATACAAATAATATTAAAATAAGGGATTGTGTTTGAACTAGATTTAAACTTCATGAATAAACAATATTGTTAACAGAATTTTGTAAAAGAAATACATTTCCAATTCTGATTCTTATACATGTATTATGTTGAAAGATGCAAAATGAATATGATTATGTTCTATCTAGGTTGGTAATTTAGATACTAATAAACTCTAATATCCAAGTTGACAAAAATTGTTTTATTCAAAACATGTTCTTCAAATAAAACTTCATTTAATTGATATAATTCAAACAAGCTCTTTCATCGAATCATTAAATGACTTCAAGTTCTTGCAACAATTACCAATAATGTTCAATATTCCTCATAAGCTTGGGATTATGAACATTTAATCATTGATTACACTCATTTTGATTTAATTACAATCAATTAAGTGCATGTTACCAACATCAAATCATAAAACATATACGAATTTTACAATTTGATTAACTAGATTGATAAGAACCCTAATTCATTGATCAAGTGAAGAAGAGAATAAACCAAACACATGATTAAGATCAAATCAAAGATTACTAGATATTAACACAAATCGAGTTCAAGTTACAACCTAACAACACATACTTAAGAATTCAGATTCGAAAATGATAATGAAATCTACCATACATGTCTAGGTTAAACTACAAATCAAACAAGTTTTTACTTCAAATTGACTTACAAAAAGGAAATTTAAGTGTTTCCAAGTGTTAATCTACTTCCAAAAGTTCTGAAAATCGCCTTCTCTTTGCCCAAAATCCGACTTAACTTCCCACTAAACTGATTGTCTGAATTATATGAGAGTAAAACTACTTTAAAACTGTCGAGACGTTTACACAGCCCGTGTAAATTAAAGGGTGCCGTTTACATGACCGTGTAAACTAGAAAAGTAGAATGCTCAATCCTTCCAGGCCTTCGAAGTAAAATGCTCCTGTATATGCGTTTACACGGTCCGTGTAAACTATAAGCTATCATTTACACGGCCGTGTAAGCTCCTGTGATGCCAAATTCTTTATTTCTTCATTCTCTCTCTCTCTTCAATGCTTCAAAACTTCAGAAACTTTGTTTCCAACTCTTTTTAACTTCCCCCATCAAGATCCAACCTTCAAAAATCTCTGAAATATCATAAAAGTGTGTGAATGGAATTGCATCATGAAAAATCCCGAAAATGCAAAATGCATGAGTTTAAACCTAAATGCAATGCACTTTTATTAAGTAAAACTACAAAATGAATGCATGAAATGCACCTAATAACAGTGCACAAATTCGGATAATGACCTCACATTACAGCCTCCAGCTTCATAGTCAACTCAAATCCCTCCAGGCGTTGCTACTGTACCTTTGCCAAGGTAACTATTCCCTGTTAGCTAACTACAAACATTTAGGGTTTCACACAGGGGAGTTGGGCAGCTGGTGAAGCGGAAATGAGGACATAAGTTCTCTTAAATAAGCCTTAAACCCGGAGATTTAGGGTTTTATCTCACAGCGCCTACTCGGCGAGTCGGCTCTCTGACTCGTCGATTCGGTTATTAAACCCACGTGGTCAATTCGTCTCTACTCGACGAGTTTAGGCACCAACTCGTCGAGTTGCCCAATAGATCTCAAAAATAAATAAATAAATAATATACCTAGGAGTCCGGATGTTACATACAATGCTGACCCGGATGACGGAAAAAGCACAACCGGTCACATTTTCTACTATGGATAATCTCCAACAACATGGTGTTCGCAAAAGCAAGATACTGTTGCTTTATCATCTTGTGAGGTAGAGTTCATGGCGGCCACGACGACTGCATGTCAAGCAATATGGCTTCAAGATTTACTAGGAGAAATGATGAACAAAGCACAAGAGAAGGTGGTTCTAAAAGTTGATAACAAGTTGGCTATCGAACTAACGAAGAATCTCATTTTTTCTTGAAAGGAGTAAACACACCAACACGAGGTTTCAATTTACTCGTAATTGTGTTGAAAACGAACAAGTGGAGGTGGAGTACATTCCCGGTGAAGAACAAAAGGCAGATATTCTTACCAAATCATTAGCTTGAACCAAGTTCAAGGAAATGCGGAGCTTGGTCGGGATTGAGGACATCTCTAGAATGACTTAGATATTCAGGGGGGGGGGGGCGATTGTTGGAATCCTAAGTTTGAGGATCAAGCAATCCAATTTAGGAAACTAAGTTTTAGGAAACTATTTTAACAAGTCGGTTCCTAGTTTCCATATTCTATTTCACATGTTGGTGTTAGAATTCTATATAATCAATTGTATTACCAAGTTATAGTAGAGAGAACAATTGTAATTATGTTTTGAGTTTTATTTTCCTAATACAATCAAAAAGGTATTTTGATTTCGTTGTTGTGTGATTTACTTTAAGTAAACACACTCGTGAGTTAATGTCCATTATGGATAGCCTTAATCACCTTGTCAAACCCCACAATGTCTCCAACAATTATACAGTTCGAAAGGAACCAGACTGTAATCATATAAAATTTACTTAAGAATGATTGGACGGAGGTCTGGCATATGTCCTTAACAAATCGTTTGAAATAGTTTCCTTGGCATCGACCCCAAGTGGCCACAAAATTAAGGGGGTGTTTGACTTAACTTTTGAGAGAACAGAAGTCCTTTTAGGAAAAGTTGAAAAAAGTTGGGTTTACCTGACTTTTCCAAAAAATCCATTTTTCTTATATCAAAAATTTGATTTTACAAGATGTTTATGCTTTTACCAGACATCTTTTAGCTTTTATCTTTTCCAAAAAACTAACAGATGATTTTAAAAAATAAAACAAACACCCCTAAATAAATTGTTCCCGGAACGGAAAAAGATACACACTATAGTCATCATTTAGTAAATGCATGTAACTATAGTGCAAGATACAAAAACATAGTAAGTATTGATCATATTTCGAATTTTCCCAAAGTTCAATTTTTTTTTTTTAATTTTTTTAATTTTTTTTAATTAGTTGGTTACAGCTTTCAAGCAAAGCTAACCTTTATGAAAGGGGAATTACTTTCCGTCAATAAAAACAGTAATACAGATACAATCGTCTTGTACTTTTTTTTTTGTCATATTAAAATTTTACATATTAACTTAAAAAGTAGTTTAAAAGAATGTTTATTATTAGTCAAATAACTAGGAAGCCATATTATATAGAAAAGGAACATCGAGGATACCATGAATCCATGATAACATTATTTACTTAAAATGAAAACTTATTAAAAACAAATCATTATATATTTTGTCACTTTTAGAAAACGGAAATATGATGATTTTTACAACAAATTACCAAGTCATTGATTTTGAGGTGGAATTTCCTCAAATCCTATTGCAATGGGTGTGCCCCGTACGTTTTTTAAAAATGATTATGGCATATTAGTAAGTAAAACTAAAGAATCATTTAAGTATAGTTACTAATAACTGAATAACATTTTATCAAAAAATTTCAACATATCTTTCATCTTTACTTGTTTTTTGAAATAAGATATCTGGTCTGAAACGAATAAAAAGTTAAAGTGTTATCCTGATCCAAAAAATAAGAAGTGTGTTTAAATTATTTAAATGAAATATTTTGTATGAACATGGTGTATAGTAAATGTGGATACCACCGATTGTCAAAAAAAAAAAAGGGCACATGGCTTGTTGAGTGGCTGGGAAACGCAATGCATGACGTCAGCCTGATGAACTAGGGCTTAACGAAAATACTTTATGACTTTTGGTCAAAATCACTTGCCTTAGGATTAGATTAAGCTAATTCTTAAGCATTTGACTTGTGGTCAAAATCAAATTTATCCCCCTTTGTCTCCATGCATTTACATTTATCCAAGGTTCTAAATAACGTAAAGCGTGACTTGACGGTAATGTCTAACCTCAAGCTTTTCCGAACCTTGGCGAGTCACATCGTTTGTATCGTTTGTAACGCGTGCCTTAAAGCGGTAATTTTGTATATAATTCATATTTTTATATGTGTTTTCAACTATTATTTATTTTTATACATATACGAGTCAAGACGACATTTTGGTAAAGTTTAGCGGCACATACAAGCATTGGAGTCATGACGAGCTTTTTAGAACCTTGCATTTATCTGATCGTACAATTTTTCATCAATAAAATTTGCTAATATTCTTTTTAAAAACCTAAAGTTACAAACCAAATAAATATAATTTACCTTTTTTATTTAAATTTATCTAAAATGAATATTCAAATATTTATGATCTGTTTATAAGAAAAGAAAATTAAATTATCAAGAATTTGTTTTTGAACAGCAAACTATTATTATTATTATTATTATTATTATTATTATTATTAAAAGACTAGCAAAGAGATAGACAAAAATCATTACAACAAAGAAAAAGCTAAAACCAAAGTGGAGTTACGGAGCCAAGAGGACCTATTTAGCTTAGCTTTGTTACACCTACTAGAAATCCAAAAGTAAAATCTATAAATAATATCATCAAATATAATGAATTTTCCAGGAATAGTTGTTCCAACAACAGTGGAATTCCGAAAATTCCATAAACTCTAGAAAATCGTGAAAACAACAGCTTCAAAGGCCTTACGTTGCCCATTACGCAATAAAGCAGACTCAACCCAAGTCGAAGGAGATGGGATGGAAACCTAATTAGGCAAATGCACATTCCACCAAATAGCAACCCGTCTCCAAACATCCAACAAATCCGTATACTCCGTAAAAATATGATCT